AACAGTGCACCTTGCAATGGACTGTAACAGACATCTCTGCAGTCCCAGGAGCCTCACCTCTCCTGATATGGAAAGATAACCATGGCTTTAAAAAAATACACACAGACACACACACACAGATTATTCAGTTTCTTCTTCTCTTTCAAAAAAGCCTAAAAATAATTGCATACATGCTGTAATTTAACCACCCCAATGTGGAGGTCAATATCTCCATTTTATACATTTTTCCAATAAAGGGAGGGGCGAAGCAAACACAAGAACTCTCACTATTGAAAAATAAAACAGGACAGGCGCAGTGGCTCACACCTGTAATCCCAGCACTTTGGGAAGTCAAGGAAGGTAGATCACCTGAGGTCAGGAGTTTGAGACCAGCCTGGCCAATATGGCGAAACCCTGTCTCTACTAAAAATACAAAAAATTAGCCAGGCGTGGTAGCATGCACCTGTAATCCAAGCTACCCGGGAGGCTGAGGCAGGAGAATCACCTGAACCCGGGAGGCGGAGGTTGCAGTGAGCCAAGATCGTGCCACTGCACTCCAGCGTGGGTGACAGAACAAGACACTGTCTCAAAAAAAAAAAAAAGAAAAGAGAAAACAAAACTCACTGACAAAACTTATAGCTGGATGTGGTGGCTCATGCCTATAACCCCAGCACTTTTGGAGGCCAAAGCAGGAGGATCAGTTGAGCCCAGGAATACAAGATGACTCTGGCCAACATAGCGAGACCCCTGTCTCTACCAAAAAATTAATTGGGCCAGGCACAGTGGCTCATGCTTGTAATTTCAGCACTTTGGGAGGCTGAGGCAGGCGGATCACCTGAGGCCAAGAGTGCAAGACCAGCCTGGCCAACGTGGTGAAACCCCATCTCTATTAAAAATACAAAAAAAATTAGCCAAGTGTGGTGGCAGGCATCTTAATCCCAGCTACTTGGGAGGCTGAGGCAGGAGAACTGCTTGAACTTGAAAGGCAGAGGTTGCAGTGAGCCATGAATGCACCATTGCACTCTAGCCTAGGCGGCGACAATGGTGAAACTCTGTCTCAAAAAAAAAAAAAGTTAGCCAGGCATGGTGGCATGTAACTGTCGTCCCAGCTACTGGGGAGGCTGAGGCAGGAGGATCACTTGATCCCAGGAGACTGAGGCTATAGTGAGCTGTGACTGCACCATTGTACTCCAGCCTGGGCAACAGAGCAAGATCCTGTCTCTGAAAACAAACAAAAAACTCCTGCCACCCAGGTCTACAACTCGCCTCTCCTTCTAGTGCCTCGTTTTGTCCCCATCGCAAGTATTTACAAAGTAAACTCTGATGAAGAACTAAGTTGCTCTGTTTATTTCCACATCAAATTTATTCCCTAAACTGGTGGGTTTTCACATTGATTCTAATGTTTCATTGTTTCAAAAGCTGAAGCAGTGAGGCAGCAGCAGAACAAGAATCAGTGCCCAGCACATAGCCCGGAGTGGCCAGACCTCAGCTTCCACAGCAGCGCCCTCCCGGCACGCTGGCAAGACGGCAGACAGGGGAGTCCTGCCATCAAATCTGGGATCTTCAGAATCCCCAGCATCACCAGCAACAGCATCCTTCCTTGTCTTCTGGGTTTGTATAGTGCAACACACAGGCCTGTGGTCCTAGCTACTGGGGAGGCTGAGGTGTGATCATTTGAGCACAGGAGGTTGAGGCTGCGGTGAGCCAAGATTGCACCACTGCACTCAGCCTGGGTGACAGAGTAAGAGCCTATCTCAAAAAAAAAAAAA